AGTAACTCAAGTCTGTTTATAGAGCACTGTGTAAGTCAAACGGGTCATCAGCTTTCTACCTTTGCTAACACATCATCTTTTGAACAGCTTTGATTTGGTATGCTAAGTTCTGCAGATTTACTGTCAGAATTGCAACAGTAACAGGTGAGGCAAAAGGTTCATGAGTTCCTTAAACACTAAGAAGAGTGCTCATTCAGATAGCTCAGATGGACTCGCTGACTAACAACTACATGCCAGACAGAGCTGATCACAAGGTGTTTTTTTCTCCCAGGGGTTCACAGAATAAATTTCATTTCTTTCCTACAGCAATTCCATCCTGACTGCTTGCTTACCCGTTTGTCAATGTCATTGTGTTGAAGCTGCACAAAGCGCGCACTGATGGCTGCAATGTAACTCTGCTGATTGGAGAACGCCACACGGCCAGCACCTTTGGGGTACTTCAGCTCTGGGTCCGTGTCAATTCCAGCATAGCAGACACCACCATACAAACGGTCCATGATCATTGCCAGTTCAACTACAAGAAAATAAACACGGCTATGTAAATATTTGGAAAGTAGTTTTGCCCAAGAGAAGACTCTAAATTAAGAGTAATTAAGAAAGGAAAGCCCATGTTAAGCATCATGAGGGATGTCTATCAGTCTCATCAAGAAGGGGAGCTCTATTCACACAATATGTTAAAATAAAATCGGAGGAAAAAAGAAACTTAAAACACAAATACACAAGAATTTATATGATCAGAACTTTAGGCAACAATATAAAGGGAATGATGTATCAGTAATCCTCTTGTTCTAATTTCTAACTTCTTGGTCTACTGGGAAAAGTTGAAGGTAGGCAAAGCATTTCAAAATGCCATAAAAAGTTAGTGAGAAACAGTTCTATTAATTGACCTTTAAGACTGAAAGCAGCTGCTAATAGCACAATGTTGTATTAGGACTAAGCTATAGAAATAATTAATTCCTCATTTTAACTAGAGACAATGTATCTAGAGTTAACGTAAATCCCTATATTAGCAAAAAAGTACAGATATATTAAAGAATATATTCCATCCTGACAGACATTTCTACACTAACCTCTCAGGTGGAATTCTAAACAATACTAGTAATGATAATAGCAGTGAGAAACATTTATTGAGCATCTATAATGCAGGAAAGCACTGAGTTGCTGCATAACCATGAAAGCACACACGTTCTGTACCTTGCTACAGGTCCAAAAGTCGGGTTTGTATTGTTTGCCACATTTCTTGCCTTCATATTGGTAAAATTACAAAACACTTATAGGAAGGCACTGGAAATTGAATCTTTCCAACAGTCTGATTCAAAAATATACCCACCATTAAAGTACCATGGAAAGATACTTACCTGTATCCCAAATTGCCTGAAGGTAACTGCTTACTTCAAATTGGACAGCACCTCTTCCATGTAAGACCCTTCCTCTTAGGCCACAGTATAAATCCAAAAGACTCAGTCCTACCCCTGGGAAGTGACCCAAATACCCATTTTCCTATATATAGCGCTTGGAAACCTAGATATAGCGCTTGGAAAGGAAAAGACAAGGAGGATACACGGTGACCTGGTCACAGCCACTGTGCAAAGACCATCACACAATGTGCAAAGAGTTCTGAAGGAATCATGTCCGGGGAGAGGGAAAGCATCATGACCGGATAGGATGGGAAAGATTTTTGCAGCAGCTACAAGGGTTGAAAGGCTGAACAGTGTAAAAAGCTCTTGCCAAGATTTCTACAAACAGAATGAAATTGAAATATTATTGGCTTCTTTAATACAAACCTACTGAAACAATAATAAAAACAGTGTGACCATGTCATAAGGGATACATTTTTAATGCTTTAAAATTTCTTTTCCTACCAGACTGCCTAAAATGGGTCAGTGCTTGTTTTCTCAGTGGCTGTTTTTAATAGTAAAAAAGACCTGTAAATGGGTAATTGTCAAGTGAGAAAATAAGCTAGCAATAACTCAGCTCAAGAGTACTATTGAAGATGGAGCATCAAAAAGCCACCCCAATTATTCCACTCTGATCAACATTACTAAATAATATCAGCAAGGCAGCATTGTTGGTTAGAGCTCAGCTTTAGGAATCTCATTCATTTGGACAATGCAATACGATTCATGCCCATATTCTGATTATCAGAGTTCAATAGTTACTCACATTTCTCACCAATAACCTATCAAGGTTTAAGCTTTTCCTCATATAGATAATATTATCCTATAACAGAGATTTTAAAAAAACTGAAAGTAGGGTTATTATTTATTATAATCATTAACAGATTTTCCTTATTGGTCAAATGGGCTTAATAAAATAAATAACCTCAAGAGCCTTCGACTCAAGTCAACAACTTCTGTGGCTAACCCACTACTATTGTGGACTGCTGGACTGTGTTGGATTGTTTTGCTGAATTCACGCACCTATACTATTTAGATGCCAATGGAATACCCATTTCTGACAGGACTAAACAAAAAAAGGGGATACAAAGGAAGGACCATTTTGTATCTGTATATGTAGAATAGTTAGGATAGTTATACAGCTACTTTCGCTTAATTCAATGAGAAGAAAGATTTGTACTAATAATGTTTGGACAGGTTATCCTGTCTGCATCTTGTACTATGGCTAACCACTAAGAAGATAACAATGTACAATGTATTAATCATTGAAAATGTCCTATTAATCAGTTTTTAAACTGTCTCACTGATATTTGTTTCTCAATAAAATAAAATTAAATTAAATTAAAAAGAGCCTTAGAAATTAAATACTACTAATTTTCCAAAGACTATGTTTCCTCTAGAATGGAAAAAAGAAGATATACCCTCAAAGCCCAATGAATAACTAAGAAAAGAATGCTGGCAAGGAGCCATAGGACACGTGTCTTCCACAAGAGGAATGATCTGAGAAGGCAACTGATTAAGAAGGTACATCAGTTGTAAGCTTAAAGCTCCAGTTAAAGAGACCAGTTGCTGTACCCAAAGGTTCTTCTATATCTTACTGTCCCTCCAAGGAATCGGAGTGATCTCCTGAAGCCAGAGAAGGTGCTTCCTCAATTAGGAGCATTGCGTTATGCTACAAATCTGTCTTCTAGACAATCATTTCCGGGTGCCAAAGATTAGATCATGACTCATGTTTCTGGCAGTTAAGAACTTTCTTTTTTTTTTTAATATTTATTTATTTTTATTTATTACATTTATTTATTGTGTGTGTGTTGTGTGTGGCCAGCTCAGCCCACCAGGGGGCAGGGCTGGCTGGCATGTGGTGCCGGGGGATCGAACCGAGGTCCCTGTGCTTTGCCAAGCTTGTTTCAAGTAGGCGCTTTAGACCACTGAGCCATCTCACCAGCCCCAGTTAAGAACTTTCAATAGCAGAAACCCACATCCATTTATGCTTTTATGAAAACTAATTATAAATAAATCATTTCCATTTATGAGCTTACTCATTTTTTTGCCATCTAAAAGTCTGAAGACACTTGAACCAATAATGTCTCACATAAATGAATAATTTATTCATCTATTTATTGAATTTTTTGAAAAGGTAGAAGAAACCAAATTTTCTTCAAAACCAGAGAGGGTTTGAGGACTGTGGAAACATCCCATCTTTCTACCCTCATCTCTATTTTAACTATAGAAAGTCTAATATCATGATCATCCTTGAAGAAAAGTAACAAGCAACTGCTTTGATATGTGGTTATTTATTAAATCAATAAATCTTCACTCCATACACTTCATGAATGCTAAAATTATAAAATGGTCAAAGACTAAAAGGAGGTCATGGAAGCACTAAACAGTGTCTAATTATTGAGAAAGTAACCAATTTTTCAATAAGTGCCCTCTTTTTTCAATAATTTTAATTCTGTAATACAGCACTGAAAAAGAACTAATTTATCTACTACGATATATGTGACAAACAAACACAGAGTAAGCTGTTCTCATATTCTTTAAATCTCCAATCTGAGATTTTTCTTTTTTGCAGAAAATACAAATTTACCAGCAAATGTTAGATGTACAGCTGCTTTTAGAATTCAAGTTTAAAGGATTCTTTACTATTGTCATTAGTTAGCATAGGAGTCCCATAAAAGCTTGGCTCCTCTGGTAAAAGAAGAGATGAAAAAACGGGTTATGATTTTGACTACTTGAAAGTTGGGAAAACAGAAGAAAAGCAGTAAAGGTCTAGCAAAGGTGAATTGAAACCTAAGTTCACCTGTGCCTTGTGTCCACCGACCTGCGCATGAAGGCTGAGTCCTCAACGACAGATGCATCTGGGAATGTAATAAAACCAGCCACTCAGCTTAGGACAGTTGACTTCTAAACCACTCTCTGCAGAAGGAAGGGAAGGGGCAAAACTGCTCTCTGAAACATGATCTTAATATTTAACCCAAGGAAGATGAGGGTACCAGAGCAGGGCATAGAGGTGGAGTCTGGAGTTCACACAGAAGTGACTGCAGGCATAGTGTCCATGAGGAAGGCAGCACTCTCCAAACCACAGTTTTTTTCTCTGCTCAACCAGACAGTGCTCTCAGGGTATGTCTGCTCACCACAGCAGTGGGTAATTAATAGGTCTGGCAGCCACATCCAAGGGCATATTGTACTTTGGACAAGATGCTCTATACTCCAAAGTCAACTCACACCATCTCAGGAACGACTTCCACGCTAGCAGCAACACTACTCTGTGCATAACTACTATACCACAAACTGGAGCTGAGCTTCACTGTGCCATTAACTGGAGAGGGAAACAGAAACATTACAGCTGCGGGGAATATGTAGCATTCCCATAAATCCTAGGTTGTTCTGGCACTGCCACCTCCATGACTCAATAACCTCTCCAGGAATCTCTTAACTCGGTCAAACTGATAATTAACATTAATTGACACAATTCTACCCATGTCAACTTGACATCTAATCACATCTCCTTAAATCATACTTACTCTCCTGATGAACACAAGAAGAAGCAATAATTCTACCTAATGTGATATAACTTTTCTGAATACAACTAAAAATACTATAATCCCTGGGCACCAATGTCTCAACAATTCTAGCATGGTCAAAAGTCCACATCTAGGGGGGCTGGGGAGATGGCTCAGTGGAATAAGCGCTTCCCTGGCAAGCACAAGTTCAATCCCGGGTTCTGCCAAAAACAGAACAAAACAAAACAAAACAAAACAACAACAACAACAACAACCCCCCCCCAAACCCCCACAAAGTCCACATCCAAAACCTACTCTGGGTGAGACTCAAGACAAACTTATCTTGTGAATCCATCTAAAAATAATTTTTAAAAAGTTACCAATTCCCAAGGTGAAATGCACAGGGTAGTCATTCCCATCACCCAAGGGAGGAATAGGTGGTAGAGAAGAATTGCACCAAAGCAAGACTAAAACCCAAGAGGGCAAACATTAAGTTCTCTAGCTCCACAGTCACACCCAAGGCACATGGTGTAAGACGTGAGTTCTAGAGCAGCCCCAATCCTATGGCCTTGCTGTTTGCGTGCCACATAATCTCTATCTAGGGCTAGTTT